ATTCACGTAAGCATACCTCATTTACTCATTTTATTTTCCTCGGGCGTTGTTTAGATCCATAGCGCTGCACGTTTCCTATGGTGGAGCAGTGTATCTTCTAGCAATATGTTCTCATTTGCTCCTGTCTTAGTGTTTCTCATCATTGGCAATTCGGAAGCCGGTCCGTATCCCCGTGATGGCGTCGATAGATTACAGGATATCGGCCTAGCAAACTTGGAGTCTCATCTGGCCAGATTTCCACGAGCGTCTGGGTGCTCTCTTGAGACAGCCATCAAGAGAAAGGAATGGTCAGTCGTTGCTAGCGAGACCTTCTGCCAAGCTGACACCCAGACATAAAGGTCATCTCTCACAGTCGAGGAAAGACTGGACTACATTAATGCGACCAAATGCCTTGCAAACAAGCCGCCAAGGTATTCAATGGACGAGGTTCCTGGGACGAGAAGCCGATACGATGACTTTGTGGCAACACATATACAGCAGACTTTGAGCATTCACTTTACTGTAAGAACGCAATCCGAGCTACCTAGTCGCCGTGAAGTCTTTTAACAAGAATTGTGTAGGCAAAATTTCTTTCTTGGCACAGATATTACGTATTTGCGTATGAGCAAGCACTAAGAGACGAGTGCGGATACCGAGGCTACCAGCCGGTGAGGTTTGATCGTATCTGGTCCATGTCTCCAGATCACTAATGCCGCAAAGTATGAGCATTGGCCATACTATTCTTCAGATCCGCTGAACTCCCCTGTTTTCAATGGGAATGATAGCAGTATGTCGGGCGATGGTGCCAAGGTTACGCACGATGGCATACCCTTCGGAAATATCACAATCCCACCAGCCAATGGTGGCGGCTGCTTACTAGGTGGTCCATTCAAAGAGTACGTCGTACTACGCTCGTAGGCACTGTAGAATCGCCGATTGTACTAACCTCTATCGAAGCTTTGAAGCACATCTTGGGCCGGTCGCGTCCCGGCTCAAAGACGTTCCCCCAAATCCACGGAAAGACGGGCTTGGATACAACCCCCGCTGTCTGCGACGCGACATTAATCCCGAATCTTCGAAATTCACTTCAGAAACTTATACCTATGATCTTATCACCAAGAATAAAGACATATACTCGTTTCAGACTTCGATGCAGGGCGACATGCAAAGAAGCAACCCCGGTGTCCATGGAGGAGGGCATACCATGATAGGTGGAGATCCAGGTGGTGTAAGCAATCCCCATTCCTCTGTATCAAGCTGATCAGTTTCCGAGTGTCAATGTGGCTGAATCATTCAATCGCCAGGATTTCTTCAACTCCCCAGCTGATCCGGCCTTTTGGCTACACCACGCCATGATTGACAGAACCTGGTGGATCTGGCAATTGCAAGATCTCGATTCTCGACTAACTGCGGTGTCTGGTGCGACGAACATGAATGATCCTACAGCACCTAATGGCACACTTACTGACAATATTGATCTATCCGTCAATGCACCGAAGATGAAACTTGGCGACTTATTAGACACGATGAATGGGCCATTCTGCTATGTTTACGTATAAATTAACAAGTAATACTTCCCCCGCAGTGCTCAGATACTAGATCCAGCCACAGCTTGAGACTTCTTAGCATCACTTGCATTTTTAAGCGCTTAGACTAAGAAGAATTCCATTTGGATCTTGGTTTTATCAATCACGACGTTTGTCGACTGGGCACAAGAGCGATACATGTTAATCTGGGCAAATCTCAAGCGTCTGTTGAGGACATCTATAAAAGTAGTCTTCGTCAACTGGTAGCCGTTCATCAATGAGTGTGATTCACTATTCATCTGATCAGCAGCTGTGACCTGCTTACAACACCGGACTACTTTCCGCATTCTTCAACCCCTCTAACCGGCTTAACGTTCTAGAAAGTGTGCGCATAGTAGACCTTAGCCTCTCGTCTACAGGCTCAACGTCCCCAATTAAGTTGCAGATAGCACCATACCAGCTCGCCAAACTCGAGACCCACTTGTGTGTTGCCTTTTTCAGGCCATCGTCATTCAAACCCAATTCACAAGCCATTCTGGCTGCTGCCAGAATGAGCGGTGTCAGGTCGTCAATACCGCCAACTACTTCCTCGAAAAGTGCCATATGAGCCCTTTCAAAGCATGGAGTGAAGGCATCCTCCAGGACTTGAACTAGAACAACTTCGAGGTGATGATCACGACGGGCACATTGAGGATGAAACCCTTGCACTGCCCACATGGTGTAAGTATTCATGCTGACAGGTATGGCCAGGCCTTCCTTGGCGTTTGCCATGCTCGACCCGAGTTGTCTGGCAAGGGAGTTTTCGGCTTTTCTCCAAACTTCCACGCCATTAACCCAGCGGCCTCTTGTCGCGCATTGGCAGCAAAGAACGACTTTCGGACGGAGAATGTTAAGCATTTCTTCCACAACTCCGTACGCCTCTTCGACTGCTTTCCACCTGGTATGCGGATCCATCTTACTCAGGTCTCCGTCACTAAAAAAGCTATAAATATCCAAGATGGGGACGGAGTCGAGCGGAAGGCCAACAGTTTCAAGCTTTTCTTCCAGCCAGGAAATCGTTGAGCCTTTTCTCATCTCCTCGAACGATTCCGAATGTTGGCGGGACGGGTTTTGAAGTAAATGATAATGGGGAAGTGTCTACATCCTCGAAGAAGACGGACAAAGTTGTTCCATTGCTCAAGTCCGATGTTCCATTTTACCCGAAATATTTTGGCCGGGTGGAAGACCGGATGGACCTCGGTAATCCATTCCGCATCGTGGACAACCAAATTTACTTCTCTCAGGACGTTTTCGAGGACCCAGCTCCGTTTTCTAGGTTCTTTGATCGATAGTTCACTCAATGAGTTCACCACTGAGTCGATGTTCACTTGTTTAACAGTGTTAGCTGACAACTGCTCCTATGCGGTAGGTATTGTCTATTTCCCCATCAACATACAATTCATATCATGTTTCCTCGAGGTCGACTGCATTATGACCGTCGAATGTTTCAATATCTGCGCGACGCCAGTGGCAGGCACGTCAATGATGGGTTTGATCTATTTGATATGCTATGCCGGGTAGGATGAGCTTCTGAAGATGGGATCAAACTTTGTATCGTGGGATGCTAAGAAGGCCATATTTGAATTAGAAACGTGGTCGATGGCAGTACCTAATCTTGCTCAAAGTTCTAAAGCTTCACGCAAGACCAGGTCGCCTGACATCTCTGACCGTCAAATTAAATGTCTCGAACGAACACCAATGCAGAGCTTACGCAACGATGGGCGCTGGATTTGCATAGGGTACGTAAATGGTGATGTCGAGATGCCAAGTACGTGTGGTATATGCCCACCGGCTGTTTCTATAACCCGAGGTCAAGCTGGAGGAAACATGTGATTCATATGTCCTCTGATGAAGTAGCATTGAGGTGCTTCCATACGGAAGCAACGGAAAACAGGATGGTGCTGGAAAACGACCTGCAAAAGATTAAAGTAAGATGTGTTAGAGGCCAGTGCAAGGCGTGATAGGCGGCTGTAGTCTTTCGAAGAAAAATTCCCTTTGAGCCGTTAAACTCTGATAACCGCTCTCGCCAGCGGCCAAACAGGTTACCGTATGGTTGCTTATCATTCCTTTCTGTGCAGCTTCATCCCCAGCTGTGTTTAGCGGATAAGTGCGGGGTTGGGGTTTATTAACGATCGGCTGCGGCAAGCTCAACAAATGACAAGAGTGGGAAGTATCGTGTAGTGTAAAGTTAGGTTGGGGGAGGGGGGTCGCCCCGCATTGCCGCAAGTACGATGGTATTAATATCGACGTCAGCTCCCCGCAGCACCGATTGAACGTCAGCGTGGCGCCGCGGTTGAATTTTTGATGAAATCGGTCAGGATGTACAGTTTCTCGTTTGACGAAAATTGTCTGGTTTTCCCCTTTGCTCTGTTTGAGCCTTGGTCTAACGATGGTATAGTACTCGAAGACGAGTTCAGTGTGAGCGGCCGAGAAGACAGTGTCTTCTCGGCAGGACTACTCGCAGAGCTCGACCTCGACATTTCCCTCTCGTTTGACTATCCCGAGACTCCGCTTCTTAGAAACACCTTGGGCGATATGTGGGTGGAGGAGAATTTCGTCAACAACGTTACCAACACAGGATTATTCGACTTTACGATCAATCGGGACTGCAATTTGGAGGATCTCGACTTGGACGATGAGTCACAAGGTCTTTAGGCCTTTCGTCAGTCTGGCGACAGTATCTCTCCCGATGAACAGTCTCCGGTCTCGGTTTCGGACCTCATTGACACTTCTCCGCCGCTTCATGGCTTCGCTTACACCATTGAAGTACCTCCCGACAACCCCCTTCTCAGGGACGGTTCGCATATACTGTTTGAGTCCATTGAGTTTGATGAAATACCGATGCCAGTCATTCCCGATGAGCTGGGTCACTTGTCAGGTGCATATTGGTGCATCTGGTCAAAGTGCCGCAAATACTTCAAAACTCCGAGTGCCAGAAGGTAAGCAACACCCAATCCTATCCAACTTGATCCCACGCATCTGATTCTTGATGAAGAAAGCATCTCCGGTCGCATTACAAACCAGTCTTATGTGCGTCTCCTAGATGCCCGAGAACGTCTGGCTGGCAACGGGACATGAGGAAACACTACAAGTCCCATTTCAATTTGCCCCGATTTGTCTGCTTGTGTGGAAAGAAGTTCACCAAAAAGGATAACCTCAACAGACATGCCGACAGATTTACCAAAAGGGACATGCTGGAAAGGCTTTGATGAGAAAGGCTTTGATGAGAGAGCGGCACGGAACTCCTCAATCGCTTTTGCCAAGATTTTTCTTTTTATTGGTCCCTGTCACTACTGAGATTCGGGACCGAGTTTTGCTACGGGACCGAGTTCTGCTATTTTACAACAAAAACATCCCTCTTTACCAAGGATCAAACAGAAATTACTAGGAAAATACCCAGAAAATACAAATTGCTTACTCACTGGGCAACTCTTTCAAAAATTGAGATTGAGGCGACTAAATCTGTACACCGCTTCCAGTATCCGAATCATACCCTGAACTTTCCTCCTGCATAAGAATTTCTGCAGCGTAAGGAGTCAAGGCATCGTCGCTGAAACCTGCTACCGAAAACGTCAGCTACATATGCCGAGTTTATCTCCCATGTTGACACTCACCGGTGTCTGCTCCACTACTTTCATCTTCGAAAACGTCGGTGCCTGAGTCTACGGCGTCATGTTCATCTCCCGCAGCGGTCGAGAACTGAGATACCGAGTCGGGATGATTGAGACTCGATATATGACGCTGAGATATTTGATCCAGCACCATTTTCTTAAGATCCTGGATGACTGCGTTGATTATCTTGCGCTGATCAAGCCATTTCTTGTCCTTGGCACCCGCGGGAAGCTGGAGTACTCCCCAATTAGGATATGTCTTCTGATGACAGTCCAGGAGGGCGATGTTGGCAGGGTGATTTCGGATATAGGAGTTACAACAAATGCAGGCAAACCTGCTGCAAGCAACATAACGATCTTCCGCTGCGAAGGTGCGCTGGTCGTCATAGAAGTGGTGAAGCATCTGGATTTCCGCGTGGACGCAAGGTTTGAGGGTTCCGGGCTCTTTCCGGTCAAATCGATCGCGAAGACGCCTCTCGATGTTTACTTGTGGCTCCATATGAGACAGGTAGGCCAGATATGTCTCGTAGCGGTTGTCTCCCGCTGGAAGTAGACGGTTGAGAATACCTCTGAGGGTCATATGGTCATCGATTTCTGGGACCGTCGCGGCCTCCGGCTTGGGGACCCTGTCAACACGGTACGATTCGAGAAGAGACTGGAGGCGACTGGCATCATCGAACAACTGAGAGATGACACGGACGTGAGCTCCGAGACTGCTGATCATGTGATGTACATCGCGGAATGGCTGCATTTCGTTCCTGGAAATTACGCCTTCCTCCATCTCTTGGCCCAGTTGCTCAATGAGACGCATGTGGTGGTCATGGCGGACGCGGTAGGCCGTTAGACAAACGAGAATGTCGTCGTCGCCTGCTTCTTCAAAGCGGTTGAGCCAAACGCTCAATGTCTCTGTTCTATTGTCAGTCTCTTGAGCAAGAAGACCCTGAAAAGTCTGACATACCGAAGATTTGATGGACTCTAAGCGTTTGGACGCATCTTCTCGCTGCGCTTTGCAGGATTCTTGACTCTTTGTGGAGACGGCGAATCGCAAATTCCAAACAGTCGTTCATCAAAGTTCGCTCTGCCGCACGATGGCCATCTGGATGTCCATTGTGATGTTTCAACAGCTTTAAGACCCCGTTGAGAAACTCGACGACATTCGCCTTGGTTCCTTCATTTGACGATACCCAGAAGATGTGGCCGTCGGCAGCATCTTCGACAGACATCGCAGTCGTAGTCTTGCCACCCTTGTCATAATCGCAGATGAAGCACAAATTCTTCAGAAATCTCCTTCGAACATCTTGCAAGCTGTAGTTTCCGAGACGAGATATTATGTGCGGCCCGTTGACTGGGCGTAAGATCCATAAGAGCACCAGGACCTCATAGAATCGCGACAACAACCGCTTGTAGGGGTCCAAACGCGGGGTGAGAGCCATCGTGATGAGGAAGACGTTGATTCAGCCGGTCGATGATGTGGAGCTATTGATTGTGCAGATCTTCATTCGGTACGAGTATTTTGATGTTCACGCACCACGCTAAACGGGTCACAGGGGACGGAGAAGCCACGATGACCAGAGGCTTTAGTGGCTTCTCCGTCCCCTGCGCGTAACGGCGAGTTCTCGCGGGGTACTCGATCACACGGAAATCTCGGATTGACAATGCGAGATGCCCACCACCCACACCAGTCAATGTGACTGGCCGATCAAGAGAAGCTGTAACGATGCAGGATGTGCGAACGAGCGCGCTCTGTCGGGTAACCAGACTAAGTCTCGCACTTACAGCTTCGGCAGAATACCACGCCGCGGGCGTCAGGTTGAATCACATGCCGCGGAGCAACGAAAGTCAGAAATTGTTGGGAAGAATATTTTCGCAGTAATCTTGGAGATAACCTTCGATTTTGTCATACTTCGATGTGCTTGATTCTCAAACTTCAGACGAAGCTCATGCCCTGCCTGGCTGAGTTTAATCAGATGACATCGATTTCAGACCAGATGAAGAGTTAAGGGACATGTGATAATCTCCGTGCAATATAGCCTCTCGCAATATGCGGTCTGATCCAAATTAGCTTTGTCCTTGCAGGTGGGTAACGGCTCTCGCCGGAAAAACGTGATCCCAGGGCCTCGACTTACGCCGTGTCAGTACGATGCGCCGATAGATTGAGTCACTTGCTACGGGTCATGCCGGCATTTTCGTTTCCGGAAGGTCATATTGGTTTTTTCAAAGCTTCGAACATTTACATGCTGCGCTTGTATGAGTGAATATTGCGGCCGTATCGATGCTTTGCCGTGAATCAATAAACGTCAGTGTCGTTGGTCGTCAAAAGTAATGCAACGATAATATTCACCCGTCGTTTGAGAACGCCTCTAGATATCTACCAGTTACGCCACCCATACCAGTCGTCTTTGCTTAGGGACATTTCTCATGATTCACTCATCGCATGCGGCCAAGACGCTTAGGGAAAGGGTTGTCCTTCGCCCCGCCACGTTATACAACATCGTTTAATGGCAGCGACATCACGACAGGCATCTCTCAATCTCAGTTGCGCTGCAAACCCGGAAGTCAAAGCATTGCATTCTTACCGTCATCAAATTTCAGTCTTCTTTCGAGTTTGCTAGACGAAGATGTGTAGGCTCATCGCTGGCACAGGAAGCTTTCAATGCGGCCATCTCGACGCTTTCTGGCAGCTAGATCGGTGCGATCTTGGACAAGGAACAAATCAACCGTGTGCCAGAAACAACACGCCTCGTGTATGGCAGAACGGAGTTTCGAGCACAGAGGGGGTCTGTCGGGTATGTGTAAGGCAGCGGCACAATCCAGCCAGAGGAGCTGATGGCGACGAGAGGCAAAGAAGACGGAGACGCAGGGAACGAGATCAGTAGTGCCCGAGGAGTCGTGATGGCGCGATCAATGGAGCAACTGAGAACGTCGTAACCTACAAAAGCTGAGAGTTAGTAAAGTCAGGGAGTTTGCGATCGATGATCCCACGGATATTGCGAATAACGAGGGTTCTTTTGCGTTGTGCTTTGTGATGCATCGTGAAGCGACGCTGACGATGAGCCACCTCACTGCAAGAAACATAAACGCCAGTGACGCGTCGGAAGCTGGCTTGAAAAGGCAGGTGCCGAGGCTTGCGTCAACGGGGCGCCTCCGGCGTGGCTTAATTGCGACGTGGTACAGGAGGGGCGTGGACAGTGGGCGCACGAGAGCGGGTTCGGAGTCAGCCGGATCTGCCTCCGGAGGCCGCTGTCACGTTGACTCAGCTGCGAAGATCTGGGACATTTGTCTAGATCGTGAGGGATTGTGTCTCTGAGCAGGTAATGAATATCGGAATAGTTGAAAGGTCCGAGAACGAAATCGATGATGCCACGGCATGTCCGGATCGTGTGACGATGAAGTGACAATATCCGTAATGAGGCCGCAGACGTATGGAGAGGATCTCAGCAAGCAGGAAGCTGGATTGCACGGTCGTTCGGTACTGCCAAGACTATTTGGCCTCAGAAGGTTCGCAGCGGCAAACTCGGGAAGGGATCATCGCGAAGGGAAGGTGAAAGCTTGGTGTTTCCAGTGGTTTGGTCTTGGCGAGGAGGATCTTGCAGCGGCGCTTCGCGGGAGCGCTGAAGAACCCTGGAGAGCAGGAGAGCCAAGCCTTTTGAAATCCACGAATGCCGGAAGTTCCTGGAGGGGTGATTCAGGGGTGGTAACTGCTCATGGCAGGTCCATGTCGTGAGGCTAGACCCTCTGGAAGGCTCGAAGCAAAAGTACCACATGCCACCATTGCTGTAGGGTAAAGCGTCATCGGCGCCGAGAGAATGGAAGTGCGACCTTCCAGAAACGCTCCTTCTGCGTCGATGCCACCACACTATGCTTAGTACAGGTGCGTATTAGAGCCTCACCTTGATGGGCACCTCCCTCTTTGAGCGAGTGAGGACATCGCGGGGCGGCCTGAAAAGAGGATGGCGGGTTAGGCAAGAGCAAGGCCCAACGTTCGGGACCTATCAAAGATCGGATGCAGTTGCAGACGGTCGGCGCACCTGAATTACAGCTTGTGCAACTCGACTGTTCCGGCAAGGGTGCCGTTGTGACTGCTTAAACTATTGGAACACTGCATTAGATGGACCTAGTGTCGATCATAAAGACGATGGTCATGTTTTGTTCAGCTCTCAACTGGAGTTTACTTTCGCGCAATGCTTACATGGCGAAATCAGTGACAAAACATTATTTGCATAAAGGCATTGTCTCTACGGCAATTAGACCTGATAGTTCACAACGCACCCCACGCCAAGCAGAAATTCGGCAGCGGCGCGGACCTTAGCAGCCGCTCAAGCAATAGCTCCGATAGAGGCAGGGATATTTCCAGAATTGGCCGAGCTGTACGGTATGTCACCCACCGTTCGTGACCAAACGTGGCTTGCATCTATTCTTCCACTTCGTGCCACTGTCAGTGCACAGCGTAATACGTTTCTGGAAGGACGATAGCAATAGACAGTCCAAGCAAGAAAGTAAGCTTAAGCTTGGAGCTCTGGAGACGTTACATTGGTGGATGTTGGCAAGCCGGAAATGAGGAGAACAACACCATGAAATGAAGCTGCTGAAAGTGAAGCTCATCCGGATTGGCTACCGGAGACCCGCTTATCTGAGAGCTGTGAGTGGCTACACCAGCTGTAGTCAGCATCGCTAAAGCGGCCAGTCCCACCATCTTATCACGTTATCGCAAAGCTCAGGCCACAAAGTGCTCCGCTCGGATCCCGCGCCCCCACTTGCCGACGGAAAAAAGGCGAACAGCGGGCCCCGAGGTAAGGCAATCGACCGGGTTCATTATCTCATCCCTGGTTCTGTTCACGATTCACATGTGCTTCGTGGATGGATCGTGGCTCAATCCTGGTGTTCGGCGCGTGAGATCGGCGGCTCGGAGGATGATGCTGTGGCGCAAGTTATTTCTATCCCGAGGAATTGGATCAATACGGCCACAAGACTGATCCAAGGAAATAGCAGTTAAACATGTCTCGGCAACCCTATTCCAACATAATGAAAGTGGCTGCTGACGGCGTACAGCGTACAGACGTTAGCAAGGATCTTGCTCAGGAACCAGGGGTCGGGCGCTGATGGCGTCCACTGAGCATTCAGAGGCACTCAGCAGAGCAAAACAACATCGAATGGCATCAGCAACACATACCTGAGAAGCAGGCCTGGACCTGATCGCTTTCCAGCACAGACCAGCAGCTGCCGAGATCTCTTGTGGCCCAGTCGCCTTATCGTGATTGGCAGCGGGGTAGGAAAGAAGGATGGTGCTGGGAAGCTCTTTGGTGGTGAGGGGCAGGTAGCTGCGGCCCCCATTGCGTGAGTGCTCCATCAGGGATCTACAGGCCTGCTTCCCCTTTCTCTCTTCCACATGAGCTTGACCGTTCGTCTTTTCCAACCACCTGAACAAACTTCGCCAGGGTTTGCTTGTTTTGCGCGCATTTGCACATTTTACAGCTCTTGCAGACGACCTACCATCATTGCAAGCTGAACTGCACATGAGCAACAATCAAGAAAGCTGACGGACGAGCAGGCATTCTTATCTGGGTCCCTTTGCGTCACATCATTACGAAATACATCCCTCCGGCAGCGGACCTCGATCCTACGGCATGTAGCTTTCAGTCGCTGTCCACCGCCTTACCTCTGGCGCCCGACACCAACAGACCGATGTCTCTATGTAACGGTCCCCGCGTCCTGACTCTGACAGCATACCTTCATCCCACATCTTTGAGTACCATCGCATCGCTTCAGTCATCCTCGACAGCCATCACGAATCAGTCGCCATTCGACGTCTAGCCCTCACCATCGTTTCCTGGGTCCATTTGAGCTCCAAAAAGCCCCCAATACCCCAGAGCTCTACATACCCCTCCGATCGCCGACTGCCACGCAGCACGGCCCATCTCCGAAAAGGGAAGGCGAGATATCTCACTTGGGGTTACATCGTGTAGACGCACGAGGATCAACCCCCCCATCCGACGAACCACGACTCACTACTGTCTTCGGTATCGTGCACCACACATCCGCAAGAGACCCGAATGTAAACCCGAACGCCTTCCGAAGGCGACTTGAGCACAATGGCGGAGACAGATCTGGCAGGGGCCTGGAGTCTGCGAGGTTTACTAGGAAATTCGCGCTGTAGTTGACTTCGAAATACCCGCCGACCTGAAATTACCCAGTCACAACTTGCTCTTCGTATGCCCCATCTTCATGTCTCCCACGGAAGAGGGTCGTCGGTCCTCGGCCAACCAACAGGGGTTTAGACAACAGAGCGGTCACCTAACGGATCCTCTATTTTATGCATAATCTAGCCTTGGCACTGCCGTTCCGCTCACGGTACTGGTCTCTGAGACAAATTGCTAATGTTCGATAGTCTCTTGCGTAACCCTTGTTATTGGCGGATTCGCCCCCGGTGACCTTTGAGCAGTCTCTCTGAGTGGCTAGAGCTGCTCCTGATTGGGATAGCTCTATCAACTGCCGGTGTTGTCACCGCGAAATATCCGTCTCCAACTTCACCCAGTCTGCCAGAAATCAGTCGGTCGTCCAACCGCCAATATGTCGCATTTTCAACACCCACAGAATGAGCTTGTTTGCGTTCTTTCTGTCGTTCTCGGGTACTCAATGCAACTCACTGGCTGCACGCCTCATGTGACGGCGCAACGCTCTGAGCCGCCAGCCCGGCTTGTCTGCTGCCCAACCTCGACCTCACGCGCGACCATTTGATAGCTCTGTTGCAATGCCAAGTCCGACCTACATAACCTCCTCCCCGCCGACCGCTGCATCAACAACATCATTGTCAATCAACTTCCTCATTTTGATGTCGTCGCACAAGCTTTCTAGGATGGCCGATTCATGTCGCCACATGGCGCCATTTGTACTCTCCTTCCCCTTCTTGCATCGTCTTATCGATTTGTCTCGCTCGCTGCAACCAACATGGCGTCTTCGGCTGCATATTCCAAGTTGAACGGTGTTCGCCATGGCTTGGACCCTGTGGAAGTGGCTGGACGTCGACCGGGGTGCAGCTTGGTACGTACAGCTTCTCGAAGGAAACCTCACGGCTTGGCCGCATACACTGCGGTGCCACACCATCGACCGCCTGGATCACCTAAGGTCTTGCATGCCATTCAGATGTGGAAGGCCTCGAGATCGAAGAGCTCCATCGCGGGGATCTAGAAGTATATAACATTCACGAAAAGCCCACGATGGAGGAGTTTTCTTTTCCTCACTACGCTCACCTCTTCTCTGAGATTCCCGACTCCAATCCCAGCATCTCGGTCAATCTTTCATCATGGTCGGCTTCAAGCGCTTTGCTATCCTCGCTGCTGCGGCCTGCGGCTTCGCTGCTCCCGTCGAGAAGCCCTCTGAGTTCTCTGTCCAGACCGTTCCCAACGGCTGGATCGTCACCCTCAAGGAGGGCGTCTCTGCCCGCGACCTCGACGGCCACTTGGACTGGGTCAGCCAGCTCCAGAGCCGCAACCTCGACAAGCGTGCCTTCGCTGGTATCGAGCGCAACTACTCCTTCAACAAGTTCCACGGCTACTCTGGAAAGTTCGACGATGCCACCATTGAGGAGATCAAGAAGAACCCTGATGTAAGCTTGAATCCAGCCAAACAAGCTTCAATCTCATGCTAACACGCACTAGGTCGTCGCCGTTGAGCGTGACCAGATCTGGACTCTCTTCGCCATCGTGAGCCAGACCGGTGCTCCTTGGGGCCTGGGTACTATTTCCCACAAGACCTCCGGCTCTACCACCTACGTCTACGACAACGCCGCCGGTACTGGCACCTACGCCTACGTCGTCGACTCCGGCATCAACACTGCCCACACCAACTTCGGTGGCCGTGCTACTCTCGGCTACAACGCCGCCGGCGGTGCCCACACCGACACCCTCGGCCACGGCACTCACGTTGCCGGAACCATCGGCTCCACCACCTACGGTGTCGCTAAGCTCACCACCCTGGTTTCCGTCAAGGTCTTCGTCGGCAACTCTGCCTCCACCTCCGTCATTCTCGCCGGTTACAACTGGGCTGTGAACGACATCACCAGCAACGGCCGCGCCGGCAAGTCCGTCATCAACATGTCCCTCGGCGGTCCCTCTTCCACCGCTTGGACCACTGCCATCAACTCCGCCTACAACGCCGGTGTCACCACCGTCGTCGCTGCCGGTAACGATGCCCAGAACGCCGCCAACGTCTCCCCCGCCAACGCCGCCAACGCTATCACCGTCGGTGCCATCACCAGCACCTGGGCCATCGCCTCCTACTCCAACTACGGCACTTCCCTCGACGTTTTCGCCCCCGGCTCCTCCATCCTCTCCACCTGGATCGGCTCCACCACCGCCACTAACACCATCTCCGGCACCTCCATGGCCTCCCCCCACGTCGCCGGCCTCGTCAACTACCTCCAGTCCGTCGAGGGCCTGTCCACCCCCGCCTCGATCGCCGCCCGCATCAAGGCGCTGGCCACCCCCAACAAGATCACCGGCACCCTCAACAGCTCCCCCAACCTGATTGCCTACAACGGCAACGGCGCCTAAGCGTCTCGCCTGGGTCCCTCGTCAAGAGGCATAGAACGGGGACTGCCGCGGGGTTGAGGTACGCGACGAGAAGACGTTCCGTGTGGTACGCAGAATGCCTCGCGGGCAGTTTCCCAAAGGTTGTCAGCTCGCTCTATTTTTCAGTTTGCATATGAAGGAGTTGGGATCCCCTCTCATTGAAGGATGAGTGAGCGCGCTGGCCTTTTTTCTTTTTGATGATGGAAATGAATGTTTTGAGACTTCATACCCTTTGGGGCCTGTCGTGGTCACCGGGGTTTCCCATTTGCTGAGATTTGGCTGGGGATGTGCTTGATAGGAATAATAAACTTGATGCATCAGATCTGTTGTCGCAGTGACCAATGCTTGGGTGATATGATGATCCCGTCGGGATGGGAGGGTAATTAATTGACTGCGAGATTGACAGTGAGCCAAGACGGTCCAGACTCAGGGTTGGAGAGATCGGATGCTGCCATCTCAGCGGGGAGGGGAGAGTTGTATTCATTCCTCTAGGAGGATCTTGGCGATCTGATGATCTTCCGGGATGCGTCTTGGCAATGCCATTGCGTCGGCAATAGTTACTCGATTCTCAAAGCGCGGCATCGCCAGGTGTTCGTTGTGCTGAAGGTGGTATGACTGCCCAAGTTGCTCTTTTCCCTTTGCGGTATCTTTGACGTTGACGGGAGGTCTGGAGCATCTCTAGGTACTTTCGTAACAAATATTCCCGCGATTTTGTGTTCAATGATATTACAGTGATCCCGTTATTCAACAGAGAAGGGTTTGAATAGTTTAAATAAAACATAACTGGGCCCTTTTCCTGTCTTAAGCTATTGCTGCCCGCCTGGGAACGAAAGGCATCTTCAGTTTTGATTATTATAACAGTTTGTAAGTCCCCACCCCTTGCAACGGAACGCCCCCCACAACAATAACAAGACTTACGAAGAATGAGACGGCTTATCAGAGGATTCCATTTCTGTTCAGGGGGGGTCTTGGGAAGGTGAGGCACAGAGGACGATCAGACAGCTTTTTAACCTTGCAGGTCTTGATCGAATACACACGTCCAGGCAGTAAGACCACGACAAATATATGTCTCTGTGGGAGGAGAAAGATTATGTTTAATTTCAAACAGATGTTATTCTTATTCAAGGAAGAGCACAAAGAAAAACAAAAATGTTCACGGGTAGATTATGGGAAAATCCAGGAGCCTCTTTCTTCTGTATAAATAAGTCTTGAAATGTGCCCCGCCTTGCACACTTACACCAATCTGGTAGCAGTCGGCAGGATTTCTCTGTCGGTGATTCGTACGGAGCGCTTGATAACACGGTAGCCGGAAATAGTTCTCACCGCTGTCGAAGGGGGGAAGATTCTGGTTACATGGTCACCGCCTGCTATCTGGCAGTGTGCGGCCGCGTACTCTGGTCAACCACCGGCCGCCCAGGTCACAGTGACCCGCCCTGAGGCTGCAATAGTTGCCTCATGGAGCCTTACTCAATTCAATTGCAACGTGCATCGAACGCGGCCAAATAGGACATGAGTCACTCTGTCAGGCATATGCGGCATTCAATGCGTAGTATCGTGACTTTGGAGATCGTTGTATTTCGTCTTCGTTCCCCTTCCTTGTCATTATCCAAAAGTTCACCACCTGTTGCATAGTACATTCTGAATTCACAATTCTCAATTCCGATGGGATGGACCTCTCATTGCATTCAATGTCAATGAATCATTCGAATACCTAACCGTATCACTATGTTCCGATTCATTCTATCGGTTCTTAATTGGGCTCTAAAGGGATACCAAAGAAACTCCCTTAATAAAATTAGCTTGGAAAGATGCCGCGCGAGCGCAATGTTCATAGCGACGTGTAGAGATGTTCATGCTTCCGGCAGAGAATGGAACTAGTTAGGAAAATTTAGCCCAGCTATTGAGGCTCTTCATCGCATTGCTGCATTCTTGAACATCCTAGGATGCCACCGCAAATGGCGCGCGTTGAGTCATTTCACCAGTTAGATGTCTTGTGATGATGTGGCTGCTTGTGGCGCATCATGTCAAATCGACAGTGGCTGAAGACGCCTCGCAGAAGCATCGGCCAAGAGACAAACCGCTAGAAATTCATTTCTGATACTATGTTACTTTCTGCGCTCCCCACGGCCTCCCTTGTAAAAATGCCGTTTAGGGGAAATGCTGTTCTAAAAAAGCAACACTTCACTATCAATCAAACTTTATTCACAAACTATCATTGGCTTTGATGGAGGCTGCGGTGGGGATACTGGAGTCTTTCTCTAACAGTTTGTCACGCTCGCATTTGTTGGCGCAACGCAACTAGCCAGGATCTTTTTGGAGGGGCTTCTTCACACACGTATGTACAGCACCTTCCTCTCCCTCGATTCTGCCCGTTCTAGAAAGTAAAAGAGGACCCTCTCCCGGACCCCAAGGACTTGATTCGCGACCGCAAGATCGCTTACGAGGCGTACCTGGATTCGCTCGCCTCTCGGCCGTCTATGTTTGCTCGGGAAGTCGCTGGCTGGTTCTCCAGCCGCCCGGAGCTTATCGCTGATGAGAAGGGAAGGTCCCTTCCTCTCAAAGCCGACTATCATGCCAGCGGCGCCATCCTGGATGCTGCTCAGAGCGCCATCAAAGCCGCTGCATTCTCGTCTTATGCGGACCAGCTGCTGAGCCGACTAGACAGTGCGGGCTCGGACAAGCTCCGGAAATCGATCATTTTGCAGGAGCTATCGAACGTTGCGCATCTTGACTACGTCCGACTCCAGTCTCTGCTGAAGCGGCAGCTGACCAGGGACTCTAAGCTGTTCAAGCGTGTGTCAAACGGGGTCGATGCCGTGGGAAATTCCAACATCAAACTGAAGGGCAAGCCGCAAGACGTTCAAAACAGCGAACCCCCTCTTCACATCCTTCTCCGACTGTGTCAGCCGGAAACGACCCCGCAGAAGGCGCATGGTTGGATTGAACAGCTCTCGAAGCTGTACCTCAAGACCGACTTTGACAAGTATGGAGCGACGCTCCCACGAGATGCGTTTGAGACGATGGGCTTGCTGTCGTTGAGCGCGGCCATGAATCTGTCGCTGGCACAGAAGGGGCCGGTTCCTTCGCGCAAGAAAGCTCAGTTCTTCGTCACTCGGGCTCAAGAGCTCGAGGCGGAGCTCAACCGGCTTAAGAAAGATCTTGGCCCCGTGCTTACCAAGAAGGTTCTTGACAATGGTCTTACCGACGGCGCATTGGAGCGACTGGACGAGATCGTCGCCGAGAAAGTGGGCGCGAGACTGGCTTTCTTGTACGAGGATTTGATCCAGGACAACTTCGCGTATCTGGACAAGCAATATGATCACGCCAAGGCGAATGGCGAGACCGACTGGACAGCACTCGCAGTGGAGCCCCAAGAGTCTTCTGAGGAACTCGTCGAGAGTCGCAAGCAGAGGGACAAGTCCTGATCATCTAGCCGGTCTAAACTTGACATTCTCTCCAGTGCGAGGGAACCCGTGCCTGCACCACCAACCATCGAAGTCGAATACGAGGACATGGTCGAGACTTTCAAGAACCTGATTGGACAGTCCGAGTCGGGCAAAGCGGTCGGTTGGCCTGCGTTCAATCGGGCGGTAAAGGAGTTGGAATTCAACTTGATTCGTACAGCAGATGGATTGAACCATGCGTTCGAGTCGTCCAAGTACGGGTGCAAGCTTCTTGTGGTTTCTCCGCCTTACAGGGGCAAATTCGAAGGAGACTCGGCTCTTGTGCTCGGCCGGCGGCTGAACAAAGCCTACGGGTGGACTGAAGATACCTTTTACGAAGAGGATCCTGGGAAATATCTGGACGAAACATACTCTGGACCCGACTCTGGATCCGACTGGGAGAGTGATGATTGAGGTCTCGACGATACTAAGCCAAGCAGCATAGTGGGTGGTTCAATATTAGCTGTATTCGCTGAGTAATTCTCAGTATGCCATGACCTATTTTCCCTCATATTTGGTAATTGTAAATGCAAGCTTTTGAGACAAAACACATTGTAAACTTGACATGAAGCAGGAGCTTCCAATGATTTGTTTGGTCGTTCCTTCCCAAATGGTTTGCGATCAATATTTTGTGTCACGTGGCCCACCCACAGCGATTCCCATTAACCCATTCACCCACCACCCGGTCCTCGACTACTCTGTTTTTTTCTTCTTCTTCAGATTTAAATCGGTTGAGCATTTGTGCTTCTTTCGTTTGTGGGCAAATCCCTGTAGGAAATCGTTCCTCTTGGTCCTTTTTCGCCCACCTGGATAACAAACGCTAGGCGATCGGCTGCCCGCATGTCCTAGGAATCGTTTGCCTCCACGACGACCATTCTTTCACAGGTCTCCGACTTACTCATACTCTTCTCCTCCGACAATCACCTGCAAGATCCATTCCTCCTTCTACGATTCCTTCTTCTCGTCCCGTCGCGCCTTCCCACGTTGACAAGATGGAAGATCTACCACCAACCGACGACCGGGAGACGCCCCAAACAGTCGCGATGGAAGGAGCAGCCCAGCTCATCGACCTGCCGGACGAGCTCATTCTTCCCATCTTGGAAGCCCTTTGTCGTCACTGCGACGGTCGAAATGGCGGGACTTTCCAGGCGGAGCGCGACAAACACACGGCACTCGTCTCATTCTCAAAGACCTGCTTCCGCTTCCACAAGCTTGCGCGACCCTACCTCTTTCACCATGTCTGCTTCAATTATGACTACCTCGAGATTCGGGAGCACCCCTGGCTGGGTATGCAGCACGAGCAAACCTTGTTCAGGCTTTTGCAAAGTTTGGCAGGCGACCATGTTCCGGACCCCGACGCGTTGAAGGCTGCTGGCAAGCGGAGCCTTGCAAACGGCATTGACGACTTGGCCGCCTCCATCAAGCACCTCGAAGTCAACCTGGCCCCCAATCTGCATATTGATAGTGGCAAGGTCGGCAAGAAAGGCCCCAAAGGTCCGGCCGTTGACTTCGACTGGCTTCCTGAGATTCTCAACCGGGCCACTAATTTGGAACATCTCGAGCTGCACATGGAGCGTCCCCTGATCCAGAATACGTCCTTCACCTACACTATGAACCGGGATGGTCGCGCCAAGTACGATTCAATCAAGGCGCTCAGCCTCATCTACCGTGCCGACTGCTACGACCAGACAAGCAAATTCAGCCTCAGGGACACGTATTACATGATCTTCAACCGCTGCAGCAATCTTACGACTCTCGAGATTCACGGAATGGGAGGCTTGGGCGATCTATTCATCTACGACATCCAACAGGCCGCCTCTCACGTCACCTCGCAGCTCAAGGTCTTGCGCCTGACGAATTGTGCCTTGGTGGCCGACGACATCGAGGTCCTCATCAGAGACATCAAGAACTTGGAGAGCTTCACGTTCAGCCGCGGCGACCTCCGCAGATTCCAGATGATTGCTGAGCACGGTCACTACTCCAGGTCCACGCTCAGGTCCCAGATCTTCCCCGTCAATCTCATGGCTGGCCTTACAAAGTTGTCCAGTCACAGCCTGAAACACCTCGAGCTTGGTCCCTTCGAGATGAAGTTATGGGAGAGCCTTTGGCACGTCAATCCCTCTGGAATTGCGGCCGAAAACCTCCAGAACGTTCGAGCAGCCGTTATTCCTACCCTGCGTTCCTTCGAAAAGCTCGAGCATGTCCAGCTTGCCCAAGACTCTATCCTCGGCGTCCCCAACATGTGGACCTCTCGCTTTGCTATTCCTGAGGTGTGGCCAGGTGACATAGCTACAGAGGAGCAACTCGGTTTGCGTCGTGTCGACACCAGCTTGCCTGATCCCGACGGCACTCGGCTAGTCGACATGCTTCCGCGCACCCTCAAGCGCCTTCGTCTTACCCGTGTCAACAATAACCTGGCAGCCAGTCTGCTCACCTTTGCATCTGCCGTCGCAGACGGAGAGTTCCCTGCGTTGAAGGAGGTGTCTCTACACGGCCAGGATCCCCTCATGGAGCGTTGTCGCTACGGCTCCCGCTTCCAGATTGAACTTCTTTTTGCTCTCGAGCGGCACTGGGAGTCTTTGAAGAACCATGTCCTGGAGAAGATGAAAGACCTTCTCGAGGGAGCTGGTGTCAATTTCTACTGGGAAGCGATGGAAACCAATCGCCCTGCCGAGGGATGGCCTGGCAACCCGATGCTGTAGTCATTGGGCATGGAGCCAACCCCTCCCATGACGGAAGACGAGGTTGCTTTCCAGAAATTTAGCAAGGATCGCCGCAATAAGTCCGTCATGTTGCAGCGGCAGTATGCGAGTACGGGAATCAGCGACTACCCGGAGAAAAACGACGATCCCGCGATGGTGATTTCTTTGCCCGGCGGACTAGAGCTTCTCTTGCACATCACAGAGGGTGAGCATGCGGGAGACATCGGACCCGAACAGAATGAGGATCCGTACGAGTTAGACTGAGAGGTTCTGCGTCGGCTCTCTGGAAGAAAATGTGGTTTCGATAATGTCAGATGAGGAGGATTGAATGACACGAAGGCATAGAAGGAAGAATGATCAATGGAAGATAGCTGTAGCCAATATATGCCTAGTTCTCACAAAACTTGAATCCCTTCCGCCCCATCTTGTCTGTCGGGGTCAATCGCACTGTCAACTTCTCCGCAGTAATGTCTATTTGCTTTAGACTCAGTAGTTCTTGTTTGTCCCTGAACCTGCCATCCAGACCATTGAAGACAACTGCCACTAGCGAAGATTTCCAAACCATCGTCTCTTCGCCCCTCGCCTTCCTTTGCTGCCTTCTATGTTGCACGAGGGCAGAGAATATCCATTGAGCCAGTAACAACGGCAGTGGGTGTTTAATACAAGCTCATTGGACAGTAATGCAAGTTTGAGTGGCGGAGGCCCTGCATGTGATAACGTCTGATATCTTGGACACGCGATCGTCAGCTGGCTCAAGTTTCCGTAAGGCCTATTACTCATCATAGTTGATATGGAATCAGCGAGACTGCGGAAGACGTCTGCTGTAGTGCTTGCGTTGCCGAAACCCTCTGCATGGGTCTTCCTCGGGTCGTTTAACAGAGGATTTCCACAGGAGTTTTTGCTCTTCGATCTTGTAAATCCTAGTTAAGGTGTCCCCCTCCTGGAAGATATCATAATCGAGGTTCAGCTTGGCGGAGTTCGGAGCCTGGTCACCAACATCGGAGTAGGTCCATCGTCGAATGATGTGTGCGTAACTAATGCAAACCTCGTTCGGTTCTTGATCTTCTCCGTATGATTAGAAGGATGCGCCTAAATAAGTAGAAATTTCAGAATCAAAACTTACTGATCAATAATGTGAGGTTCTTGTCATACTCGTCGGTGCCAGGACCGCTCCGTTCAACGTCTACCGATGACTTACTGCGATTCAGCCTCCTCCTCGATCAACCCCGTATAGGCTCTGATATCTCTGTTCGCAAAGTTAGTTCAAGATAGGATGCGCAAGCAACTGCCTAAGGTACCTTTGCTGCAAGTTTCCATCCCTGGTGCCCAGCATATTCAGCCTCAGAGCCAGACCAGTCTATCCCAAACGATACGTAATTACGGGGCCTTTCTTCGCGCAGCCTGGTTGGTCTGCAAGACTTTCGTGTTTAATAATCCTAAAAGTGGCCAAACTCTGACATAAGCTATAGTTAATCCTACATCCATGTGTGTTGACTCCGGCCTGGCGACTCAGATCCACGGAAATGGCCTTGGCATCTGACATGCCTCGAGGATCACCGAGTCTGCGGGCAGAATCTAAGCTTAGATGGACACCCACAGATCTTGGGCTGTCAAGTCGGCAAATCAGACACATGTAGATAAATAGGAGGATCAGCCTTGGCTTCTACATCCCTCAGACAGCGAATAGAGAGCCATTCGCTGTGCAGTCTGTAAACTTCATTTTTCCAGCTGTTTTTGCACATTCAGTCGCGACATCGTATACGCAGCCAACCAGATGCAATGACTGCAACCCGTATAATTGTGGCAAAAGCTCGCTTGGCCGGTGCCTAAAACGGGCTGGAACCTGTTGTGAACCTGGGTCCGTCGGAGTTTGTGCGAATTATTTTCCTTGTCGGCTCTCGGTTCCCATGTCTATTTCGGCATCAGGACGACATCATGGCAGCGAAAGCCCGCGATTCTGAGAATTACAGCCGTCTTGAGGTTGACGATAGATTTGTCCATACTGTAAAGTACTCGGTTCCAAACACAGACGCCAGCGCCTCCCCTCAAGTCTACGATGACAATTTGCCCGAAGTCCACCAAGCACGCGGTGGCGGTTCTGTTGCAAAAGCAGGCACCAACCCGAAAACCACTAGTACAATATGTGGTATTCGCAAGAGGGTTTTCTGGATTCTCTTGGTCGTCATTGCCCTCATTGTAATTGCGGGCGCCGTTGGGGGAGTGCTTGGGGCACGAAGCCAGCGAAGTGGCCCGTCGCCGCAACCTACCCCAAGCACCTCTGGGAACCCAGAAGATGTGCTTCCCGAAACCAAACTAGCTGCCATCAACATTACCGACATACATGGTCACAGTAACTACTTCGTGTACTATCAGAAGAACTCAAACGAGTTGTTTGAATCCGCATACAATTCGTCGTTGGGCAAGTGGACGGTTTCTCGTGTAGGCAACGATACGTTTCGGCGGGGCACACAGATTTCCGCCAATATACACTGGTTTGACAGATTTGTGAGTTGGAACCCGTATTTCACAATGACGTACTAGTATTCATGCTTTATTAGTCGCGGAACATGCACATATACGCTGTGTATGAAAACGGATACCTCACCGGTCGTATTCGGCATGCAGACGACACCTCTCAATCAGTCCAAGCGTGGGACACAGTATTACCTGAACTAGCAGCTCCACTGAATGGCTCGAAGATTGTATCCTACGGAAGGGAGAATGAGATGTTTCTAACGAAGAATATTGTCGTCTACCAGGAGGGTGGCGGGAAAACACGCTTTACTGAATTCATGGGCGGGGCCGGCGATGAAGAGAAGCAAGGAGGGGTTGTCGTGACTCGTCAGCCCATTCTCCGAGCGGGCTTTGCTCTCGTTCCGATATAGGGAGGTAAAGAGAGGCAAACTTGAGCTTGGCGATGTTCGATGTTGTTGCCGGCGGTAAATCACCGAGATATGTGAACCTACCGGTGTATAATCCAGGTAATGGTGAACAGAACGTATGGGAAGAAACGGATATATCATGACCATATGACGTAACTGACACGGCCTCTATTGCTGGCTTCTCGGTTGGGGCCAGTCGGAACGGGGGCTGCGTCGTGGGTCCGGGCCCGATATGACTGTACACCTGTTGATAATGGAACCAGGACATACATTGTCAACAGTGTCATTTACGGACGGGAATGCAACGGACGGGGGTCCGGTGAAGGTATGGGAACTGAGAAGTTGCTCAGCATGGCTGCCTGCCAAGGTCAAAGAGTCTATGGGACCGTGGCCAAGGATGATGGCACTGTCATGATAATGGAATGGGAGTGGGTAGGCGATAATCAATACAGGGAAGTGGGGGAAGTGAACACAACCTGAGCTTTGTGGGAGGAGGCCCAGGAGAAGCAACAAGGGTCGTCAATTGACGCATTGGGACTCCAGATCGTGGGATACGACATGCTGACCATGAGTCCATCCGTTGGGCCGATACAAGCCCGAAGTGGCGGAAGGTGTGGGTATCATTTTTCATTTATACTCATCGAATTGGGCATTGCAGGGAAAGAGCACTGGTAGCCTTGGCGAATTTTCATGAGTAACAGCAAGGATGTCAACGTTACTCCTCGGAGCGCAGCCTCCGGGCCGGCAAGGGATCGGCGACGGAGATTCGTGGAATGCGCCCCATATTTTCGCCGGCGCTCGGGGAGGAGACGGACTTTGATATTAAAGTATTGGCACATTCCTTTTTGATGGAGGCACAAGACCAGGTTGCGAGGAGTTGCGCGGAGTTGTAGGTTGGTCTCTTCAAGCCCGGCTGAGTTGTAATTATGGAGCTATTTAAGGAGGCATGAAGTGAAGTGTTCTCTTTCAACTTTACAGAGCTTCGTCAACCAAACCTGAACTGCTATCATTGTTGCCATCAATCCTTAGTACAAGCTGTGCCAGCATGAAGTTCTCTGCGACTTTGGCAGTCCTGGCGGCTGCATCAGCCGAAGCCCACTGTTAGTCTTCTATCCTTTAACATCACTCAACAAGAGACAAAAGTCTCAGCAAATCAGCCACATCTCTTATGATGCTAACTCAGTCGATCAACTCAGACACATTCGGTCGCCTAGTGTATGGCGGCACGACCTATCCCGAGTGGCAGCACGTCCGCAAGACTTTAAACTTCTACTCCAACGGCCCCACCGACGGCGTCTCGTCGACGCAGATCCGGTGCTACGAAGCCGATCCCGCGGACAGGGGTACCGTGACCACCATCCCGGTCACCGCGGGCTCGACGATAGGGTTCGCGGCAAACAGCGTCGTGGGACATCCCGGGCCCGCGAGCTTCTACATGGCCAAGGTCCCGTCCGGCCAGACGGCGGCAACCTGGGACGGCAGTGGAGCCGTCTGGTTCAAGATCTACCACGAGCGTCCGACGATCACCAGTAGTGGCCTGGAGTGGGCGTCGTACAGTGAGTTCCCAATTTTCTCAATCATTTCTCCTGCAATTTGAAAATTTTCGGGTCATGTTGTTGTCGGGTGGGTGCGATCTTTGGAGGCAGGGAACCATGAAGAGCATGTGGTCTCAAGAAAACAGGCATTTAAGATTTAGTGGAGAGTTCGTGAATCGCGCTGTAGGGCTGAATCAGTTCGGTGCTAATGACGAGTTGTGTGTCGCAGACACTCAGGTTCTCTCGACCAAGATACCATCCTGTCTCGCCAATGGAGAGTACCTCGTCCGCGTTGAGCACCTGGCCCTGCACGGCGCCGCAACCGAAGGCGGAGCTCAGTTCTACGTCGGCTGCGCCCAGGTTTCCCTCTCCGGCGGCGGCAGCAAGACCTTCTCCGGCGTGTCGTTCCCCGGAGCCTACAAGTCGACCGACCCGGGCATTCTCTTCCAGCCGTACTGGCCGACCCCGACCAGCTACACAAACCCTGGCCCCGATCCGATCAGCTGCTAAGAGGGAAAAAACAAAACTGGGGCTCCTGCATCGCTCCCCGGTTACGGGTACCGTTCCTCCGCTGTAGTGCAATGAATCAGGGTGGCGGTATGCATGCATGACGCCGATGCCGGTATCACAGAGATAAGGCTCTCGCGCACCCGCTCAACTGCTGACAGGGGCGGGCTGGAACAATCCGGATTTTCTCGGCGTGGCGGACCATCCTCTCCTTAGTTCGCGTCGTTTTTGTTGAGGCGTGCTTTTTTCTGATCGGTGATTTAGGGAGAAAATTTCCCTGCTTGGGGGGGTCCGCGCGGCCCGCTTGGCGAGTTCGGACGCCACGGGAGAACGACGTGATGTCAGGAAATGCGGGGAATTCTACGTCATTAACTGTGAAAAGACGTGGCGCAAGGGTCGGATTTTCGATCGTGTTCTTGCGGCTGGGCTGCGTGCAGCTCCTTCCACTGTCGATTATGATCTGTTTGTCGTGTAGTGACAATTTATTTCCCTATTCTGAGTGATTGACTATTGTTGGTGTGGTCATTTTGAGGTAATCCGGGGGATCTGCTTCGTTGATATTAATGATCGACCCTTGCTGAAGCAGCTTTCGGCGCCTACTGCTCGCTTCGCTAAGATCAGTTCACCCCTCTCATGACATCGCTATTGACGATAATAACGACAAAGCCGTCCGCCCTTCATCACGACTCTCATCATCGAACACGGACGAAGAGAAACAGACATTTCTAAGACAGATAATGAAGATGACGACAGTAACATTGGAAGATTCAGATGCCCCATGCTTCTCTCACGAGAGCTTCCTGGCCCCGCCGGCTGTAGAGAAGCAACCTTCAGGCATCAAAAGCCCTCATCGGCACAGAAGCCCAGCGCGCCGCTGGAATGGTGATGGAAAGGGAATCCAGGTGGACATCGGCACCCGTTTGCGCGAATATGTCGACTGCTTGAACAACAGCAAATGGAACGTCATCGGAAACCACCTCGCCGACGAGCTCACCCGGAATGGGCACTCCCAGACGCGTGAAGAGCACATCACCCGCCTCCAAGGTCGCACGAAGGGCCTCGCCGGATTCAACATCAAGATCGACACCATGCTCGTCGATAAGAAGGCTCGCGCTGTGGCCGCGAGATACGTCAACCGGATGACGCTGGTGGATGAGAGGGTGAATGCCGACCCCGTGGAGAAGACGATTGAGTTTGATGAACAGTGCTTCGTGTGGTTCAACGAGAAGGGCAAGATTTCGAGGATTGTGACGATCCAGGACAACGACGGCATTCGTGCTCAAAATCCCACGGCAGAGATGACGCCAAAGTTTCTCACGCGGAGCATGCCGGATAAACCGGTTGACCTGGGGTCGTTGTACCGCGCATACGTCATTAGTATGAACCAGCGCACGATGAAGACCGAGTTTCCTAAATTCTGCAGGAAAGACCTTCGACACAACAACAGACCATTCACTGTCCAGGACTATGCACGCAACCTTGATATGAGCCACGAAGTTGTTTCAGGGCTTCATTTCGAGATTAAGGAGTTGCTGGTGGATGAGGAGACTCAGCAGGTTGCTGCGCGATTGGAGCTCACGGGAACACCGACGTCGATGTTTGCGGGCATCCCTCCCAATGGCAAGAGTATCAAGTTTAACGAGCACTGCATGTACCGATTCGACAAGGGCAAGATCTCGGTGGTTTGGGCGACGATGGAGCTGGACGTTGTAAGGAAGCAATTGGAAGCCAGGGCAGATCGGAGGAAGTCTTCCATGTTGGGAATCAATTGAGAGAGGAAGTTGGAAGTTTGTTGTGAAGGGAGCAGACGCTAAGCCTTACGAAAGGCCTCGGCGGCGTTTCGGTCTGTGGGGGATTCTACGCGGCATGACGGGCTATTTTCCAGAGGTAATCCACTCGTCATGGGGACCGATCATCACCTTCCCCTTTCACAGTTTTTGGTTTAGAATGTACAAATAGCATCTTCATCCACATGTTCAAACCAATGTAACCATACGCACAAACTTCGGACGATTTTAATGCTCCGTGTTTGTATAGGATATCTCGGGTACCCTGAAGCCTAGGCCGATGACTTTTCAGTAGGCAGTGGCGATGGGGTACCTACATAAATAAAGTATTTAAGCATTCCTAGTCTCCCCAACTCACATGTACCTTCATCGTTCCACTTTAACAACAATCGCGGTCATAAATCGCCCCAATGTCGACACGCAAACCCATTTCGACTCCATTTGGTCCCCCTTACGACCGTGTTGCCATCGTTGAAAGTATCAAGCAGTGTTTCGAACTGCTTTCGCGAATAGTCTCGTTCAGACCCGAGTGCATAATGAGCCCACCCTGAGAACGGATGGAGCGATGACGAACTTCCCCTTGAGATATTTCGGATCCTCAGGTTCAATCACAGAGTAGTTGACCTATGTGAGTACATCTCGATCTCGCTCTCTCCCTGACCGAAACTGACAGAGTCCTCGAAAAAGGTACGACACTTGCCATACGTGGAGAGTGAGAAGCCGGTCTACCTATCCACGCAGAGCATAAGCTACCTTACCTTAAAGACTCACATCACTTTTCAGAACCCGAAAGAGAATTCAGAACCAAGCAGCCACTTGTGTTTGAGCTCTGACTGTTGGAAAGCGAGAAGATTCCAGAAGGAATCGTCGCCCTTACAGGGCAGGCGGATGGGGGCTTAGCTATGTGGTGGCTGCTTGACACCCGCACTGATAATGATGATAAGGTCCCGTGGGGGTTATCTGAGGCTGATTGAATGTGCTTAATATAGGTGAGGTCACTCCTCATGATGCGTACAGACACGTGCTGGACGAGGAGATACCCGAGGACGAGCCCTGGCGGACCGATAAGCCCCGGCCGGCTTAGAGTACTTCAAAGAGCTTAGAGATAGTCTGATCTCACTTAAGATGATTTCGAATCTGACGCACATACCTGGGGGAGACTGGAAAATTTGGCGAGTGGAGGATTTTAGAGAGGGCACTGGGTCCATGTAGGTTTTGAAGTTGGCTGGTGGTTATTATGGTTTTTGGTTACTGATTTTATGGATTTAGGAAGCTCGGAATATCTAGAGGAATGTGGTTGGCCCGACGAGCATCGGTTTGATCGGTTAAAGTGTCGGAATTCATTGAAGAAAATGCTAAAGAAACGTTAGGACACTTTAGGTGTGAGGAAAATTTAAAAGATAAGGAATCACTCATAGAAAGAAATAGGCGGTTGAGAGACGTAACAGTACTTTTGCTTCAGATACGAAGTGTCTTAGAAACACCCAGCAGAAGGCCTAAGCTATCTTTTCTCTTAGCTTTTGCAGACTATCCTGGCCCTCGCCGACGCAGCGAACATCATTCGGAAGATGGTCTAAGACGTCAGCGGCCAGTCTGAGCATATATATGCATGCGTCGTATTGCATGCTCTTCTCGAGATACCTGGTGTGTATTATTTTGCTCAAAAGCGAGACAGACTCAACTATCAGAGTGATCCAAGGGCTCATTGAGACGACAGGTTCTTCTGAAGAAGTACAATCCTGCATCCTATCGGCGCGCGTTCTGTAAGCCGTCGCCGCTGCCTTCCGTATGATACATTTGCTCTCGGTCCCAAACTTGAGTACGTTAACAATCTCGCGCTCAGCTTCTTGCCTTGTCTCTGTTATCTGTGCAAGTAGGTCTGAACGGCTTGCTGCTTCAAGTGCTTCTACCATCTTGAGAATGCCAAGGTAGTGCTTCAAATTCAGGTCGAACCAATTTAGTCGACTTTCTCGGTTTAGAAAATGAAGCTGCCTCTCGCAGATTCCGAGAAGCGGGCGTATCGAGGTTGTGTAGATCTTCAATGCGTCGAGAGTAGCTTCCCAAGTGGACAAAAGGCTTGTTTCGTCTACCCCTTCCCTCAAAGCCTCCTTCAACGACGTGATTGTCTTCCATAAGTAGACATTAGCAACAGAAGCAGCTGAAAGTATCTCAGTCGCTGTTTTGTCGCAGACTTCAAGCCCGTTGATAAGCCAGTCTTTTGATTGAGGGAGAAACGAGCCAACGAGGAAGGCCCTGACCAAAAGCCACACGGGTTCTAAGCAAGCCCCTTTCAAGCCGGATGTCAGTGAAGCCCTTAGGTTTGATGTCAACGAGCTTTCAGTATCCCACACCACTGCCGTCCAGTAAATTCTGGTTTCTAGGTCTAGAAACTTGGTAGAGACCTGCTCGGCAACGACAAGATTGCGCGAGGAGCCAAACTCTACCAGTGACCCCGCCTCATCGAGGTGATTATGGCTCCTTCGTTCCCGCAGTCTTTGAATCTGGGAAAGCGCAGTATGAAGACAAGTCAAACCATCGATCCCGTCCATGACCTCGTCATGAGGGATGCCAGTGGGAATCGGGGTCTGTGCGAACAAATATAAGGCTAATACGGATTGGTAGGATACTCGGTTGATGATTTTGAGCATGTCTCTTCTGGCAGCACGCCAGCTCTCTCTGACTAAGTCTTCGGTAGAGTTCGTCGGAAGGCCGCCGTAGCTTTGGAGGATCTGAGGGGCCCATCGTGCTGCGAAACCTTTAATGGCCGTTCGTAAGAAGCACTCGATTTCGTTTCCCAGTTCTGCTTCTCCACGATCAGGCGTTTGCCCATCCCCCGGAGCTTGAGACACCACCTCCTGTTTCAAGTCACGATCGAGAGACCTGAACATGTCTATCACCGATGTGGTTCTGGCTCGACTTGAGTTCTTGCTAACTTAGTCAGCCTCCGAGTCCAGCATCGCCCTGGTGGCTACTTGGTGAATCTTACACGAGCGGACAGCCATCTACTAAGAGCGCAAGAGAAGGTTCGAGAGTTTGGTTGACAAGTGATTCAAACAATGCGTTCATATAGGGCTCACTCAGTCTAGCCCCAGGGACATTTGCCATATCCAATATCTTCGCAGCCTCTGGCCTTGGATCCTTTTTATTGGTGTTCTTCATCCACTACTTGACATCAGACTCTGCAGGCTCAAACTCACAACTCTTCCTGTGCTCACTTACGGTGAAGGTGCAAGGTTGCTGTTTCAAGGCGCATCGAGAACAGGAGCCGCGCCAATCTCTTTCACCTGGTTGATAGCCACGTTTCGAGGCGTTGCATGCAACTCGGGAACGGCGACAGTTGTCGCAACTTGAATATTGCTTCCTCTGTTTGGAAGATGGCATGTTTCTAGCGCTCAAGCTCCGTAAGATCTGTTACTTGAACTGAACAAAAGTATAGTCAGGTATGCGATGGCGCTGAAAGCAAAAACAGCTTCAAGTTGATCCGACTCGGTAATGCTGACACGCGGTCACAGCGGCGCTAACCCCACACACAACGCTGGGTTGCTTAGAAATACAACCAGCCCAGAGTAATGTTAGACGCGAGCGGGACCCTGTATCTTTGTCAGCCATTATTTTGCCATGCTTTCTCGACACCTGCGCTGATTAGTACACAATCTCTTCTTTGTGATGTATGGCAAGTCACATCCAGCTTGGGGAAGTACGTAAATCGTCAACGTCAAAGCTGGCAACCGTTTCTCTATTACAGAGTATCAAAGCAAACATGGAGGAGGGCTTGAACGCTATGTTCCGACTGTCCTGCGGTGCCTCAAGTGTTCACTCCGTAAGATTACAGCTTCCCTAGATAGTCAACCACCATCGAGTGCAACTCATCGTCGCTCATTCCCTTCACACCCAACAATATGTTGTCTAGCTTGCTAGAGAAATCACAGCCATAATCAAGAGTCAGCGACCCGCAAAAACAGAATCCCAGCATCGCAGCATCGACATCTGCATCTGGCCCTTTGGCAAGCTCTGCGAGACACTCTCGACGGAGTACTTCTGTGTCTTTGACAGACGTGCTCCAGTCTATCCCGTCGACATTCTTTGCGTATCCAATGAGCTGCTTTTGAGTAACCAAAGCAGAATGAATAAACACAACGCGGTTCGCAGCCTGAGGCCGGTTCCGAATGACGCCGAGTACGGCCATCGCGACATCAGCGAGCGTCGTCGCGCTGAAAGGCACGTCGCCACCGTTGTACAGGATCGCTTTATGATCTTTAAGATCCACGATGAGGCCGTTCTCGAGACCCCAATCGAGGAAAAGTCCATTCGCAATGGCCGTGAAAGTGAACGCTGGGTTTTCCCGTGACATCTTCAGGAGGTAGTCCTGGACGGCAACCTTTGGGGCACAGACGGGCAACTGCGCGCAGAGGGAGTTGGTGGAATCCATACCAAACTCGGCTGGAATGAAGACCTTGACTCCGGCAGAGACGGCGGCATCGATCAACGGTTTCTGGCCCCCGATGGCAAGCGTGGCCAGACACGATATGACGACGTCAATGCCGGCTAAAGCAGGTAAAAGAGATTCGACAGAGTTGATGTCGACTTCCATGATCTCCAGGCTTGAGTGGACAGGCAATCTGGAAATGTTTCCTCCATTCCGAGTGAGGGCCGTGACGCGGAAACCAGCGTCAAGGAGGACTTTGAGGATGGGGCCGCCGAGGTTGCCGGTGGCGCCAGCGAGAGCGATACGAGTGTAAGACATTTAGTATTGAGGGAGTATGTATGATCAATGAATCTAGGAAGGTTGATGGTTTCAAGAGGTCAAACTGGTGCGGACTGTTGCCTTTATATACTTCTTCGGCTTAAAGGATTGCCTGCATGATTTCACCAGTGGCGAGATTTCTATTTCGGATGTGGATGCCGTCCTCGTTTCTTCAGTGAACGATTAATCTTTCGGCCCCTTCGTTCTGCGTGTGTGATCCTGGGCTACCGTTGTCGGTTCCGGCTGCCGCTCTGGAGTGGGTCATGTCGGTTCCGTCCACCGGCTCCGACACTCGGTGCCGATCACTTATGCGGTGCCGACCAGCAGAACCGGTCCTGGCAAAGAACTTCAAATACAACGGCGATAACGGCGATAGTAACATCAACAACTTCAACAGAAGAAGAAGAATACAGCAGCAGAAGCGACAGAAATTGAGGCCAGGATTAACAGATATGTATATTCTCATTCATCTCATTTCAACTTAGTCGATTTTTATACATTCTCTTCATTCTGAGAGAAGAGATTTCGAAGTGATTTTCTTCGCTCCCACCAGTCTTCATTGTCAATCCAACCAACTCGTGTTCAAGGCCAAGCCAGTAAGACCCGAAACGGACCTATCAAAGCTCTGATCACTCATTTATGTCTGCGTCGCAGCTCACGTTGCTTTATTGAAGAACTCAGGCTCGGTGGAAAGGCGGATACGGCCCTGCGGCCCGCTGCGGGTGGAGACTTTATTATACTAAGAGCGTGTGATTTGCTTTTCTTTTCCCATCACAATCACAGATCCCAGCTACTTGGTCCTTCGTGGCATGTTCTTGGCCTTCGGAAGAGTTGATTACTGCTAGGGTACTGAGTTGATTGGCTGCATTGACTGGGCCCTGGGCAAACAAGAGGGACAACATCTCAGCCTTCACTGAAAGCTGCAGCTGCAAATGCGGATGAACTGTTCAGAAGCGCGGATCGCCTTCCGCAATAGGGAATTCAGCCGAAGAAATCCTTCGCTGATTGTTGGAATGGAACTGTTGGAACCCCTTTCGATACAGCCGGGGTTGTTGACGCGAGCCCCATCGGCCTTCACGCGAGTGGTCGGGGAAATCAACGCTAGTGTTGGTTCTACCTCATGTCGTCCCCCCTTCTCCTCTTCTCTGTCTTCTACGAATGTCCCGATTTCATCCAGGGACGATCTCGCTGCTCTGAAATGTAAACTTTATTTCATTCTCGACTTTTGACTCGTCACCTGCGGTCTCAACATGTCAAATGAACCGACGCCCAGGGAGTCGGTGCCGACTGCAGGGCCGAACGCGACGCCGGGCTCAGATGTCAGCCCACACTCTGTGGCCTCGATTGAGGTCGACAAGGCTGCGCCTTCAGAAAATAGCTGGAAAACTGAGCCAGACCCATTCATGTCGCTGTCTCCCAGCATTCGAGACTATAACTTTGAGAACAAACGTCGATATCACAAGTTCAAAGAAGGACGGTACCTCCTGCCAAACGATGACCCTGAGCAGGAACGCGAAGACATGAAACATGCACTGATTGTTAACCTATGCGACGGCGCCCTTCATAACGCGCCTTTGAATAACCCTCGGAAAATCCTGGACATCGGTACTGGCACTGGGATATGGGCCATAGACAGTGAGTCTTGCTCTCTGTATTACTATATTAGCCTGAGGATACTCTGTACTGACTTGCTGATAGTGGGTGACGACTACCCCGACGCTGAAGTCACTGGCATCGATCTTAGTCCCATCCAGCCTCCATTCGTACCTCCCAACGTTATGTTTACTATCGATGACGTGGAGGCAGACTGGCTTTACCCTGACAACTCTATCGATTTCGTTCATGTACGCAACATGGCACCTGCTGTTAAAGACTGGCCTCGGCTAGTTGCACAGGCATACAAGTAAGCTCCGCCTTGGTTTCCCACAGTTCCTCAACAATATTACACGTTCCGCTAACCCGTGCAGAGCCCTTAAACCTGGTGGATGGATTGAGCTGGTTGACATGGCATTCACGTTCTCTTGCGATGACGGCACGGTGCCCCCAGACTTTGCCCCTATCAGGACCATGAACTACCTCAGGGAGGCTCTCGACATGTATGGCGTGGACATCTACGCTGCATGGAAGTTTGCAGACTACATCAGAGAGGCTGGCTTCGTCAATGAGAGGTTTGATACAAGAAAGGTGCCGGTGGGCACATGGCCAAAAGACCCGTTCATGAAAGCAATCGGTGACTACTGTCGAGCTGTCAACTATGACTCTTTGGGGTCGATTACAAATATCCCTTTCAGAAAGGGCCTAGGCTGGACCAGTCTGCAGGTTGAAGTGTTCTTGGTTCAAGTGCGCAAGGATCTGCTAGATGACTCCAAGCACTCATACAACTACTTTCACTCTTGTTGTGGCCAGAAGCCGTATGAAACAGACGGATAAGTTGTATTAATAGTGTCTTCAAACATAGAAAATTGTAATAATTGCACGAATGTATCCACGCTTTCTGCTTCAGCCAAGTTCAGAATCATCGGTGTTACTGTAATTGAGATTAATCCAATACGCGTGAGTGTGAGGGTCTGATATTGAATGACGGCAAAGAGAAAGGCACCATTGTGAGACATCGCCTGCCGGTAATCGTCTTTTTTGGCAATGGACGAACTAATAGTTGAAGCCTGGCCTCCCGACACTCGGCAACTTGTAGTTTTATTTTTCTTAGATAAGCGCCCGAAGCTGGTGTACCGACAATTTCTAAGCGTCTACAATCGTAAACCTCAAGTTCAGCTTCGTCTCCTTTATAGGTGCATCCAATTGGAAGCCTCCGTTGGACCCCCACACGGTTACCTCCTTGATAGCCTTCAACCCCAGTCTGTACTTATGCTGTAGAAGCATCCAGGCTGTTGAAGCGCCATTAGGGCTGCCCAGAACTGCAAGCCCCGGATCTGAGTCTAACTGAAATGTAATCCGCTCGTCCCAGCCAGGCACACTCTGATGTCCCTCCTCGCGTAATGCTTGTAGAACAATATCGAAAGTCTTTTCATAGACAATATGCGCTTGGAAGATGAGCTTGAGGTTGGTCATCTCAATTCCCATTGCCTCACAACCAAGCCACCATTGAAAGTAAGCAAAGTCAGATAGAGTATCGAGATCGGGGACGTCTCCTTTCTTATATACAGACTTTGTGTACTTGGGACTGAAGTTCGAATCGAAGATGAAAGCGCCTGAAGGTGCGTTTACGACGTTGGTATAATGCCCTCCTGTTGGCTAGAAAGGCGGAGTCAAGTTAGTATTGCGGTCGCGCTATTATCAACTGCCGGGTGTTACTTACCTCTCCCACCCGTAGATCTGGAAACCGAAACTTCCGGTCATGAACTGCGTTATATGCCATTCCTTTCTCCCTGTCGACCGGGAAATCGGGGTCCGCGAATGCTTCGTCCAAGTCGTCTTTGAATTGCGGCCACTGCTTGGCCGGGTTGAAGGGCCAGCGTGCGTTTTCCTGCGTCCATCCCCACTGAAACATATCTTCTGGTTCCCTGAAAGGGCTGATGATAGAAGCTCCGCCATTGTACTCCTGAGCCTGGTCATTAGTGAGCGGGAAAAGTTCCTTGAGCCATTTTCCCTTCTCAATTCTGCCATTGTAATCCTCGAGAAATGAAGGGAATGATGTCTTGACCCGCTTGGTTAACGATCCATTGAGAGACAGTTTGGCCCCTGTCGTTACAGGAGAAGCGCAAGCGAATGTAATAATGAGCAGAAAAACCAAGAAGAGGACACAGGCACTCTTTTTACTGAATGAATGAATAGAGTGAGACATTTTGAAACGATGCGGCTAACAGCCGGGTGAGGCTAGGGATGGCGCTGGGATGCAAAGAATGATTGTCGCGACATACGCAACGTGGACAGCGACAGAACAATTAAATAGCTTTTCATTCCACCTTCAATACCGAGTTACAGCATTTAGAGAGCATAGACTCATATAATTACTTACAATGTGGGGCAGAACTCTATCTGCGGCTATCCCTGCAAAATAACCCGATTGAAGTTCAACAGGCAATTGCCCCCGCGATTGACCAGGGCATGATCCGAGTTCTACAGAAGCGGTTTACTATCTAGGAAATAAATCACGGATATGCCGACTAATGCTTTATTCTCACTCGATCAATGTGGCTTGGCCACAGGCTCACACACTATCCAGCCGCACCTCATGAGCAGTTAAGATTCTTGCTCGACTCTAGGTGGCTTTCTCCCTTGACGTTCTCACATCATCAGTCTATATTCAAATTCAATGCCCTTACTCAGTGAGTAATTATAGCAGCATTGCTGTCAAGCCCCATATGTCCCCAAGGTGAAATCCAAGTTCGGAACTTGAAGGTCGTAGCTGTCAATCGCGGTGAGCTCCGATCGCATGCTGACAGAACTACATACCGCGCTGTTCGTTGGGGCAGGGAATCAGGGGATGTGTCTGAAGTATTTAATTTGGGGTTTCATTGACCTTAATCGTCGTGTAGCGATTGTCGGCTCTTCAACCAACCCGATATATCGGTGCTCGGGAGCTTCTGGTTCCCGAATCATGATGCAAGTAGAAGGAGACTGAGACAAGACTATACGCTTACTGTCGGTATTAAAGTCTCCTGTCAGTATATGCTAAGAATTTAGTTATTCTAAAGATGCTTTAACTTGGAACCACGTGAGCTGCGTTTTCCAACAGCCTGCGTATTATCGCTTGTAGGTGTACTGGTTTCTGCAGCAAGCACTCGACGACGATGGTGGCCCAATGTGATAATGCATTAAATATTCTTTTATTGCGTGTACCTAACCTAACCAATGTTTCTTCTTTGCATTGGCGAACATTACTTCAACATGAGTTGATATCTCTCCCGAAGGCCCTCAGGGAAGAATAGATCCGCGCCTGGGTGAGCTTTATTTCACAATTGGATACGAAGTACGTAATCTTCGAGCCTCTCACTCATTCTCTCTATCATTGGAAATAATCCAGCTCAGGTCTGCGAGGCTGACTGAATGGTAGATGGCCGCGTCGTCTCAGTCTTTGTAAAGAGTCCACCTTCTCGGTCGAGCTTCACTTGGATTGAGGCGATAATCCACCCTCAGTACTGCACCTCAATTTGGCGAAGCCCGACACTCCGGTAGATCGGTAACAGCGCAGTTCTGCTACCATGTACTAACGTTGTGTTGTTCTGGTCAAGCGCCTTAACGCCGATTTGGCTTCTTCCGGCTCGGCCGAGTGGCTGAACAGAAGCCAGAAGTGGATGCACCCTCGGGATGTGGAAAACTTCGGGAACTGGGCCTTGGATTCTTCAAAATTCCAAGCGGAAAAGAACCCCACGAGGTTTTTTGATTAAAGTACGCGTGCTACCTCGCCCACTTAATCGAGATTCCGGTAAGGCGCCGCCCGCAGTCTCTCATGCGCACGTGTACGTGGGGGCGGTCCGATCGAGAAGAGCCAAAATTGACGAAGAGAAGACGGAGAGAATTCTCGAGTTGGTTTAGCAAGGAGTCGCCAAGGCTTTAACGGAGGCTTTCGGCAGTGAGCATGACAAACGTGGACGTCAGCAGCTTGCGAGGCCACGACACTCAGCCTTGCAGGCTTTGATACAATGGAGAAGAAACAATTAGTGAAAGGAGCTCAGAATGGCTAGAATTAGAGGAGGCGGACTCTCGACGGAGAAAGCCATACGCGTTCAGAAGGGAGGCTTCAGCGGCTCTGTGAGCACATGAAGGTTGGTAAGATGCTTCTAGATCCAGACCATCAGATGAACTAGTGGACCGATCGACAGTTGGGAGAATCCCTGCAGGCAACAGGCTTTAATGCGCATCTGCCGGCATCTAGGCGACGCCTGCCAAACTAAACACCAAGGTAGGAGTGAGTGACAAATTCTAACTGGCCATCATTCACACCCTGACGCCGTGCTTAATGCACACCTGCTACTGATGAATTGTGACCGATTTCTAAGCCGCCAGTCACTCGTGAAGCCTGTACAGCCCCTTTTTCTAATAAAAAGAAATTCCTTCGTGGCGAAGGAAAGGTTGTCGCTGATATGATTGTTATCACCTTGTCAGATTGGAATGGCACTGCTCCAAATACTGGACAGGGACTGTGGGGCATAAAAACGACGTCGGCCAAGTCGGAGGGCGAGCGGCCGCCATCACCGCGACCATCCGCATGTACCTCGCAACATACGCGACGTGCTTGTTGCTGGAGCCGAAATCCCTACTTCACGGCTGAATGTCGCAGTGTCATACACAGGGCATGTCGTAGTATCAAGCAAGTCATGGCACACATATAGGTTTGCTTTCATCGGGTTCGCTTGTTTGCCACAGCCGTACCGCTAGATGCGTGAGGTTTAATGCAATGGAGCCAGTCTCTATGCTGGAGCTTGTAGCAGTCCCAGTTCATTGCGATCATGTGCCTCTCAAGGTCATGGTCTACAAGCTTCATTCACTGCTCTTTCAGAAGAATGTTTGAAGATGTGCGCCAAAGTAAGGCAATTAGTCGGTGCGAGCCTGCAAAGTCCTGCGATCTCGGAGGATAAGATGCCCCTGCGGGATGGATGGAACCTTGCCCTGATTCAAGACGGGAACTCCCACCAACAGACAGGCTTTCCTGTTGCAATTACTGTGGGCTTTTCCAACACTCTCATCTCGGAGAATGAATCGGTGCCGAAGCGGCAACTTTACTGCAACCATTGTGGAGAATTTCCATCGTGAAAGTTGCAGAGTCTACTGCGATTACTTTCAGCAATCCACAACCTCAAACAACCTATATAGTAGCATAGACTATCCAGCAGTGGGGCGAGAGCGAAGCACAAGGATGAAAAACAAGAGGCTATCGAAGAGGCTATCACCAAGGAAGCATCTAAGACGACGTATAAAAGAACCTCCATCTTACGATGAAGTGGTAGTTTCTCTCTTCGCAGCAGCGCAGTAGCAATCGCACTCCTTCAGCTTCTCCTTTTCAACTCCCGCAAAGTATGCAATTCACCCTCGCTTCCTCTCTGGCCCTTCTGGCTGGCCTTGTCCACGCCGTGCCATTGGCCAACAACACTCCTTCGACTCGCCACTTCGACGGTGCCTGCACTGCAAACAAGCTTACCACCCGAAAGGAATGGCGCAACATGAATCCGACCGAGAAACACGACTTTCTTGATGCCCAAAACTGTTTGATGAAGCTGCCCGCCAAGACCAATCTCGGAGGCGTCACGAACCGTTTCTCCGATCTTCAGGCCTTGCACCGCTGGCTGACGAATGCAACCGTGCTGGACGGTTACCTGGCGCCGTCATGGGAGGGCGTCATCCCGAACGGAATCTACGTCGCTGACATTATTCACGACGTTGGACAGTTCTTTCCTTGGCACCGTTACTACATGCACGCGTACGAGATGATGATGCGCGATGAGTGTGGCTACAAGGGCCCGATGCCGTGG